CGACTTCCAATCTGCCGCGTCTACTCTTGTATTTCCTCGTGCTCCTGCTATTCATCCATCGGACTCGGACGTTCTATATTCCCCGACGCTATCCACCGTCTCCTCGTTATCGTTATCGAACTCGATATTAATTCACGACTCACCGACAATCATGGCGAACCGTACGCCAATCGATATGCCTATTCCGGGCACTAAGCAAGCACCATTCTTCAAAGGGAGATGGTATGAAGTCATCCCCTTCCTCGATGCCTATGAGCAACTCAGCACTGTCAACAACCTGGACAATACCACGAAATGCACTTACCTATTGAGGTACTGCCCTCGACAGGTCGCCGAAGTCATCGAAGGCATGCGCGCCTTTCACGCGCGCAATTGGCCGAACCTTCGCGCTGAAATAGAAGAGCAATTCAGTGCCGATAGAGCAGACAGACGTTTTGAAATTCAAGACCTAGCGCACGAACTCAAACGATCTCGGCGCGGACATATCCGCAACATATACAGCTTCCGCAACTATCTTCGGGAGTTCGGACGCATTGCCGGATGGCTCCTAGACAAAGGAAAGATCAGTGAACGCGAACACGACTCGTATTTTTGGGCTGGACTCCCGCGCGAAACTTACAAGGAACTGGAGGCCCGCATTCTCCTCCTCAAACCGAGTATCAGCCGCACCGAACCTTACCCGATCGACATGGCAAAAGATGCCGCTCGATTTATCTTCGATCGCGACACTTTTGATCCTAATCGACATGTTAATCTGGTAACGTCAGACGACGAAGACGCACCGTCGGATCCTAGGAGAGAAACCGATTGAGGAGACTGGAGCGATTCCGATATCACGGATGAAGACGAATACGTTAGATGGCGCCCGAGACATGACCGAAGGCGAAAGGAGCGCCGAGAACTTCGAACGAAATCGGAAGAACCCAAGAGAGGTTGCAAGTCGTCGCCAAGGATCCGATCCCGTTCCCCTGTTGCACGCGAAGATGCTCGTCGAACCCTGTATGAACTAGAAGAAGAAGAACATCAGGCGCGACAAATGGATGAAGTTGAAGCTATCGTTCACCAGATGGCCGGCTTGAAGATAAACGATCCGCGCTATGCATACTATTTCCGAGAAGTCACGAGGATCGACCCATCCCTCGGAAAGATACTAGCCGCACCGGCGTTAGCACAAAGTCGTCAAGTTATGACGGCGTTCACTCACGAGGATGAAACACACCGCCCTCTCACGCAAGCACCACCGGCATACCCGTATTTTCATGCACGCCCTCCGCCGTTCTCGGCAACCTATCCAACCGCCAGCCGGCCCCCGTTTCAGAAACCGATGACTACGTACCCGCGAACATGCTTCGGATGTGGCGAGTCCGGCCACATGATGGGTGATTGCGCCAAGATGGAGCAGTTGTTAGCTGCCGGCACTCTGCGCAGAGACATGAGAGGTCGTCTTATGATGGCCGACGGTCGTCGAATTATACGCGTCGATGGACAGCCCTTGGTACAGATAATCGAAGAGATGGCGAAGTCCGGGCCGCCGCAGTCGATGTTCATCCAAGTCCGCGAATATACCGGTTATGAGCAGGAAACGGTGCGTCCGGAAAGCAATGACCGACCGGAAGAAGAATCCGATGAAGTGTACGCAAGCGAGGACGACAATACCAAAGAAGATGATACCGGCTTCGTGTATGTCGGAGCCGCCAAGAAGCGACGGTTGGACGCAGTTGAACTACCCGTTCGAGAGCGGCCGAGGAAGGCGAAAGTTGTTCGTTTAGATCCCCCGGAGCCGATGATGTTCGATCCGGCTAACGACGATCACATTATGGAGGACGAACCGATGAAGACGAAGGCGACTCACCTAGAAAAGCCTCGAGAGATAGCGCGATCGGCGCTGGCGAAGCATGTTGATGCTGAGGCCCTGTACACCAAGCTTCTAAAGACACCGCTCGTCGTATCAGTGGAGGAATTGCTGGCTGGAAATAGAGAAATCGCCGGCAAGTTAGTACGCGACATGAAGATAACCCGCGCACACGCACCGGAAGGCCCACCCGCAGCCGTTCACGAAGCCATATTCCATCCCACTAGCGTATCAACTTCGCCTCATGGCCCGCTAATCAAAGTCTTCGTGAAGTGCGCTGGACACGACGTAGAGGCGATCATCGATACGGGCTCGCAAATGAGCATCCTAAACAAGAAGGTCTGGGATCAGCACGTCAAAGTACCTAGGGACATGCGGGAGACTGCGAAGATGGTCGATGCGAGTGGAAACGTCAAGATTCTTGAAGGGATCTGCCCCGATGTCGTTGTACAATGCGGAACGGCGGTGACGACGGCCAACCTATATGTCGGAGACAAAGTACCGTTCGACTTGCTACTTGGACGCCCCTGGCAGATCGAGAACAGACTCACCATCGACATGCGAAAGGACGGCACCTTCCTAGTCTTCAAAGACGAACAAGATCGCGTCTACGCCGTCGTACCCGTCCCTCAGAATGCGCGCGTCCTCCGATCGCCAGTACGAGCCGCTTTCATGATGGAACTTCAAGATGTTGATCAGCGCCGCGTTGGTGGAGTATCCCAAGCGGAGGAGGCAGAGATTATAGCGCAAGAGGAAGAGGCCGGAGAACGAGCGCCAAACGACATGGAGGAAGACGAGATAGAGAATACGGACTTAGAGCTGCACGACGCGCGACACGGCCGAGCACGTGCCGAGCATGCCGAAGTCACCGGCAACTCCGGCGCCTCTACAGGCATAACACTCCGATCAAAGTCCGACGACTTCACGCGTCGCGGTGCGTATCCAAAGCCGCCGTTTGACTGTCCTCCACTTCCGATTCCCTATGTCGACTACGGCACCGCTCTCGATGGACACTGGCTCCTGGAGTCGATGGGACTTACAAGCTGCTCTCCGACAAGTTTCTCGGTCCCCTGGGCCGCTCTTTCCGTCGATCTGGAGGGCTTTCACATCAAGGCACTCCTCTATCCGGCAGCAACTCATACGGTTATACACTCTCGTATCGCTGTAGCTCTGGATCACTCGAAAGATCGGACCTTCTGCCTGGACGATAATGGGGATTTCTGCCTGTCGAGACTAGTCTGGGACCTCCCGATCAAGATCCGCAACTATCTCCTCCCGATCAACGCCTACATCACCCCCAGTCTACCTGTCGATTTGCTGCTAGGACGAGACTGGCTACAACGAAATCCGCTAGGACTTGTGACTATCGACAAAGTCCCTATCCTCACTATCGCTGGCGGCATGAAGATCTTTATGGAATCGTCCACGAAGGATCTAGACGCAATCTCGACTGAACTTCACCTCGAGCAAATCGAGGTTGACCATGATCGCATCTATCGCCGCGATGTCATTACAGTCCGGCAGCCGTTACGAACTAATACGATATCTACGGAGACCGCGACGCCTCCGATGCATAGAGATATGTCGAACGCTCACGACGAGGAGCGAGCGCACGCTGCGAACGCGGGCTCAGCGAGATCGGACGAAGTCTCCGCCGCGTTTGGGCTCTTTGCGATGGCTCACACCGATCCCACACCGCGCTTCTATCCTTCCCACTGTGCCGCTATTCCTGTCAAAGTCTTCGGAAAGAAGGGGAACTCTATTCTAGCTTTGATAAACACCCGGGCAACTGTCAACCTTATCCACCAACGTCTATTCGACACGATCCGATCTCCGCCGCCGTCTAACCTTGGAGAACTAGTCATACGCGTTTCACCCGATAAAGAAATACCGGTCGTCGGCCGCATCTACGATTTCCGACTACGAGGACCTTGGGGAGAATGGACCTCGAGCGACTTCTCGATCGTCAACGAAGGCCAATACGATCTTGTCCTCGGAACACCGTGGCTGCTTGAGAACAAGATAGAGCTCGTGCCGCCGCCAAGTCCCGGGCCGGCACCATCTCTTACTATGCGCGGACGAACGGTCGCAGCGGCTGAACGCACGAGATCACGGCAACCACGCAGCCCGGAGCCGGAAGTTCCAGGGCGTATCTACGGCATCCAACCCGACTTCTCGGAAGCTACGCTCGACCAGGTTATTCTCTCTCAGGAACCAATTACGGATAGTGGCACAAGACTGCCGTCGCCCGTACCAAGAGATCCGCCGCTCGTTCCGACCGATCTCGTTACGAGCTGGGGCACTATTCCCGTCAAAGTGCTAGGGTTTACTATCTATGCTATCATCGACTCCGGCGTTCAGCTGAACTCTATCAACGAAGAGATCTGGAAGCATTCGAAAACGCCGCTCACCGTCACCTTCGACTCTGAGAACCACCCGGACTCGAATAGACTATCCATCGGAGCCATATTCGATGCCTCTCTCGAACTCGCCGGCATGCAGACCGTTGCTACGCTCAGCGTAGTACGGAACCTTCATGTCGATCTCATTCTCGGCGCCGCCTGGCTCGGAACGAACTCGATTACCGTATGCGCGGAGGGCGCGAAGCGCCTAGGTCTTATCTTTCCAGATTTAATCACCATAGCGCGTCTAGGAGGAAACGGCGTCGATGTCGATAAGGTCTTGCGAGACCTACTAAATCGCGATCGGATAAGACCGGACGATGACGAGCTGTCCGATATAGAGTTAGGCTCACGGCCTTCTTCGCCGGTACTGGATCGACAAGACTCCGGCGACACAGTATGGCGCTTCTGGAAAGGGATGGTCCCTCCTCCGCGCAGCCTAGCTCGGAACGATACCGATGTCCCGCGATGGGGAACGCGTCGCGTCCGCGTATTCGGAGAAGAACTCACCGCTGTGATCGATCCCGGTGCGAAGTTCAGTACTATCCGGTTCGCGCTCTGGAACAAGCACATGGCGAATCACATCCACCGGCAGTCGGTAACGCAAGACATCCCGGCGTACCTTCATACGTCGAAATGGGGTCCCGAAGAGCTATTGGATCAAGATTCTACGGTCAAGATTACATTGGACGCTCATCTCGTAACATGGGGATCTCTCTACCTCAGCCGCCTATCGACTTGCGACCTCATTCTAGGCGCCGATTACTTACTTGAAAACTCGCTTATGCCTGTTATCGGACCTCAACGCTGTCTTTGCCTAATGCACGCGGAATCGACTCGCGTATTCGAGTTGGAACTCACACAGTTCGCTCTCACCAAGTCAGAAGAAGATTCCGGCGAGTGGGAACGACATTCGGCATGGGGTCTGTATGAGGAACCAAGTGCTCACCTTGCGAGCGATCGGACAATAAGCCCGTATCCGCACAACCGTGCACGACAGGGCTCATCGACGCCACTATCGAGCGGCGAAGAATCCTCGCAACCGGCAGCATTAGTCGCTTACTCGCAAGCATGGGAGGACGTTGACGAATACAGCTCACCGTCCAATGCCGATCTCATCGCCGTCGAAGATTCCGGACTCACCGACGACATCACCTCTCTAACGGATGAAGACTTATCGGATGACCCATTCTCCGGCGAGGAGAATGACGACGATTGCGATGATTATGAACACATGCCGCTGCTCCAGCACTCAGGCGAGTCTTTCTTTACCTTTGAAAGAAAAGACGATGCTGCCCTGCCCGAGCACGGATGGTCGACAGAATCTCTTGGCGGCAGCGCGTACAACTCATCGCCGCAGAGCTTCATTATCGCAACGGCTCGTCGCCGTCGTTACGCCCGTTCTCGTCTAGCGGCGACTC